ACTATCCTCAACCAGTGTTTTCGATAAGCATTCACTTCACCCCTGTTTTCTGATTCGATAATAGTCAGTAAGTAGTGCAAAGCGGCTAGTCCTTCGTTCTGGTCCAAATTGAATTCCATCAGTCAAGTTTGCCATGTGGCCACCATGCACCTATAGGTGGCGCTCCATCACGGTGCACTATGAATTGCTGTTAATAGATGGTTGGAGGCAGTCGGCAGGAAGCCTTGGATACCACCTAGGTTTCGTGCTAGTTGGAACTCACCAGTCAGTCAGCAAGGTAGGCATATCTGCAACCATGAAGGAACTCATGTCTCCTCTGAGATTCAAACCCGCGTCACCCATTGCTGCAGTCAGTTAGCCACGTTACCACTGAGATATTCGCGTTCGCGATTGACCTCCTATAGGACTGTATTGGATACTTGAGTTGAAAATGAGTCCCTTCAAGGTTTCAGATAAGCCTCTCTTGCTGACTGACTGGTGAGTGCCAACTGTTACAAAACCTAGGTTCACGGCTTCCTGCCGATTGCCTCTAACCATCTACCAACATAGCTGCGAATTAGCGAAAATAATCTGAACGCCTAATTTGAAACAGAGATAAGGAAAAACTATAAGATCAATGAGTAAAAGATCTTTTTCTCTTTCTTATTCAATAGTTTATTTTTATCATAATTAATTTTTTTCTCTACTTTCTCAGTAGAACGTTTTGAATTTTCGGTAGGAGTGGGTTTACTTGCCTCACGTCCAATCTTCCGTCTTTACCACCGAGCTTACTACCGGCTTAGCGAGGTAAAGTAGTGAGTCGGCCGGGCCACGTTCGTGGTTGGTGAGCGTTCTACCACTGAACCATCGACGTCCATTTAGTAGTTAAGTTTTACCATTTGAAGGCATTGACTGATGTTATTAGGTGGTTGGAGGCTATCCGCAGGAAGCCTTGGACCTAGGTTTCGTGCCTGTTGGTACTCGCCTGAATGAATACAATGCAGTGATATATATATATATATATCTTCAGAGAATAAATGGAAGCTACGAACCACTTGTCACTCGTTCCCATCTTAGTTTAGGACACCATAACAAGCCTCTTCAGTCCCCGATGATTGGATGTATAAATATGTTCCCTTCATAATCTGAAGGTACTCGATTCGATGTTCGATGGGTTTTTATAAGTTTCACATAAGGCTGAAACAACGATTGGGTGTTGTTCCCTGATTTTCTCACCTATATAATTATTTATTCGTAATAAAATTTGTCTTAAAATCAATCAAATAGTTAACATTTTGAAATATTTTATACGAATTAAAGTAAAACACATCTGAATGAGGTAAACACACAATCAGTAACTCTCTCTTCTCTATAGTAGAGTTGAATTAATCCATTTTTAGTCTAACAATTCACACGGATTCTTTCATGTCAAACAAAGCCGATAATGTATAATTATAATAATAATAAAATGAAATACACATGAGTTCACTTTTAAGAGGAATTTTACCTAGCGTAAATATTACCTGAATCAAATATTCTTCACAACTTCACCGACAGTTGAATAGTGAGTGACCTAGTTAATAGTCAGACCTCATAACTTACCTGACATAACACTGAAGCGGTATTTCAGAGGCCATTGGTTCGTATCTGGACGCCATCTGGATTTTCATTCTGTCCTTTGGTTGTCACTCAAACTACGAATATCTCAGATAGTCTTACTATCTGTATTCTCTTATTTTCCATATGCTCTCACGTCTAAGTATAGAAATTCTATGATACCATACTTGGCACGTATTTTATGTGATGAAAATAGCGTAAAGCAAGAAATAACTAGCCTTTTTCCATCTAGTAAATAAACGATTTCCTCCATCCATCCTTATATACTTTCGAGTTTTACTTTTATTATTTCTACTATATTTATGGTCCTGTTGCTTCTTTGTTTTACTTTCATAATTGCAAACACCAACTTACCTCTGTGACTGCTGTAATCTTTGTTTTTCCCCTCACCATATCATGTAAAGAGAACATTATATTCAATATTTTCAAACATGCTAGGATTTCTATACCGCACTGACAATAATGTGTGAAACAAGCCAACAGCAATTTTCACTTGTATTATTATTATTATTAGACATTTGTAAAAAATTATATTTGTAAAATCTCATCGAGATTGAAATCAGTAATCCCAACGTTTCGTTCGGCAATCTGGTCCGAACTTCTTTAGGGATATTAATCGAAATTATCATAACAGAGGTTTATGTAAAAAAGGAACATCTCTTGTTTTTAAAAGCTTTGTCCAATCATGAGTCATAAAACAAGTATCAACAAGTATAATAAACAAAAATTGTATGATCAAAATTTGATCTCAGACTTACAAATATTAGTCTATCTTTGTTAAACACTTTAAACAGAGTGTGTATGTGTGTGTGGGGGGGGCAGATTGCCGAACGAAACGTTGGAACTACTCATTTCAATCTTGCTGAGATTTTACAAGTATAATTTTTTACAAATATCTACTTCTCACTCGACGCCAAAATGTCTTAGAACTATTCTGTCAAATCTTGACGACAGTTCATTTGAATTATTATTATTACCTTAGCTGTTATTATTATTATTGTTATTTCCATTTTATATGCTGCATGTTTTTTGACATTACCCCTATTGAAAATGTGGAAAACTTTCTGTGTGATTAATTTTGTATTTATAATTTGAGGAAATTAGATGAAATACTGTGATTAATGCTGAAAATTCCATACAGTAACACAAGTATAGTTTTGGAATAAAGTAAATCATTATTATTATTATTATTATATTAGTTTGTTTATTAGATGTATCACACAGTGAAACAGTATTATTTACTGGATCACGTTTCGAACACAATACATTATTGTTCATAATCATTCCATCAATTATAATCACACGACTTCGAAACTTGAGTTTTATAGTTTTCTTTGTTCTCTCCTATTTGTCGTCGTTGGGGTGATAGAATTTTCCAGATATCTGGTTGGACAGGTGTTGAATCATTCCTACTACACGTATTCTCTTCAGTTGATTCGATAAACAAATCTTCCGCTGTTATCAATCTCTCCCTCCGCCTTGTGACATTCGATTTTAAAACTATCATCTTATCTCATCCTATTGTTGATAGAATCAACTGCATATACGTGTAAGAAGGATGATTTATCCCCTATCCCAGATATCTAGAAAATTCTACTACCCCAACGACAACAAATAGGAGAAGACAAAGAAAACTATAAAACTCAAGTTTCAAAGTCGTGTGATTATAATTGATGGAATGATTATGAACAGTAATAAATTGTGTTCGAAACGTCATCCAGTGAATAATACTGTTCCACTGTGTGATACATCCATCTAATAAACAAACTAATATGGAATTACTTACTACTACAGCGCCAAAGTTCTCTTATTTTGTGATAAAAAGACTCAAATTGGTAACACTGATGTCAGGGTATTCAGTGGCTGTCTCTTTATATGGTTAAGAGACTTGGCTTACTAGTCACCAAAATCATTTCCAACAGACTGTTACAGACTTCTATCAGAAGCTTCCGTCGCCAGTGGGACACTAAAGATCAGATGGCCAGCAAGAATAAATAACAAGTAACTCCGGTAACAAGCCAATCGAGGAAACCTGTCGGTTCACAAATATGCAGAATAAAATGTAGATGGATTGGACAGACACTGAGGAGAAGGTCGAATAAAACTGCGCCCCAGGTTACCCTCGAGTGGAACCCGAGTGGGGAACGATGAGATAGGCATGTGTCATACGGTGACATGGAGAAGATGAGACATTACGGGGGATCAGGGGGTCAGCCAAAGAGGACCGCAAAGAATAGGACGAAGGGAAGACCTTCTGTTAAACTTCATTTTTCTACTGGGGACCCAAAGAAACAATAATAATAATGCAGTATTAAATGTGATGTAATTATTTGTGCAGTGTTGAAGTTTATGGTAAAGCGTAGGTTTTAGTCTCTTTGAGACTGAGGCATGCCTAGGCAAGGATGAGTAGCAAGTTTTTCAGGTGACAGATTTTAGTCTCTGGTTTAAAATGTCATTACTTATTTTCTAAGTATAATACACGGTATTGTTGGTATTAGATGGTTTTAGACAATCAACACAAAGAATTCTACCTAGGTTTCGTGCTGGTTAGCGCTCATCAGCGAGGCGTATCTACAACTCATGTCCCTCCTAAGATTCGAATTTTATTTATTTTTTTTATTTTTCGTTACAGTTTGATTGCACACTGTATTTTTGGTACAAGTATGGAATTTTCAGCATGGATATCGGTAGCCCAAATTTTGCAGGCCGACCATAGATATCAGGTGTGCGTCGGCGGGGGATCGAACCTCGGACCATGTGCATGGTCGGCGAGAGTCCTAACCACTGTACCACCGACGCACAATAAAATAAATAAATAAAATAAAATAATAAATTTGCTGCAGACTGAATCTTATCAGTCAAGTTTGCAGTGTGGCCACCATGCAGTAATAGGTGGCTCGCTATAACAGTGCACTCAGAAATGTTGCTATTAGATGTTTGGTGGCGATTGCCCCACCTGACTTAGGTTTCGTGCCAGTTGGCACTCGTCAGCACCAACATCATCAATCGCAAAGGCGAATACTTCAGTGATATCATCACTGACTGTCTGCAACACTGGTTGAAAGGGATTCGAACCTCAAAACAGATATGAGTTGCTTCAAGGTTACAGATAAATCTCCAATCATCTAATAACAAAAATTCACAGCGCACCGTGATGGCCAGGCATCTAGCATGGTGACTGATGGAATTCAGTCTGCAGCTAACGAAGTGCTAGACACATAACACTACTCACTGATTATTGTGTTATTTGTATTAGTTTGTTAGTAGAAATTGTCAGAAAGCCTTGAACTTGGATTTTTTGCCTATTGCAACTCAACGCCATTTCATTTTCTCTCATAATGATAATACTCCCCTCGGATGGTTTGTCAACTTTTCATTACTTATTATTGTTATTATTATTATAGTTTTTGATAAAAGAATTAACAAATCTACGTGAATTGAGTAATCGTAAAATGGAATTTGTTGATGAAGCTGATCGGTATAATCAAGAATTAAGCAACAGCAATCGTCAATTGATGCGTAAAATATCTGAAGGTCAACAGAAAATTCAACGGTGAGTAATTAATAACAGGTTTTTTTTTTCAAATTTTGATATATTCACTTGATTTATTTCTCATTTCCTTGAATTTTGAGTGAAACATAGGACTTTAAGTTTATCCGTGCATTGATACTAGTTAGAGAGAGAACTATTAAAAACCAGGGGTTTACTAGACAACCGTTTCGTCCAGTTTTCAATGGTTCTCTAACAATCACATCCCTAAAAACGAACGCATCAAGTCAGGCAAAAGGACAGCTTGGCTGGCGGTAACGCTAAGTGTGTATCACAAATTGGCAGAAGTTCGAATTCATGGGCTAGCCACTGAACCGAGTCCCAATGGTTGAATGGTCTACAAGTTGGCCTCGTGACCAGATGGTCCTGGGCTCGAACTAAGGTGGGTGCGTACTGTTGATAGAATTCAGTTTTTATCAAACAAAGGACTAGACGCATGACAGTAGTTAGTTTGCAATCAAAGAACCTAATACTATCATACAGGCGGTCAACCACCAACCCGAATAGCTCACTGGTAAAGTCTCTGACCTACGGTAGCACTGGGTAACATGGTTTCTCTGAAGATCGCAGATGTGCCTTACTGACTACACCAACAGGTATGAAATCTAGGTTAGGCTGGACTTCCTTCCGATCGCCCGCACCCATCTAATGAGCTATTCTGCCTTAATTACATGATTCTAAAGTTTACTCATATCAAGTTTTTCTTCAGTTTTCTGTCTTTGTTGGGAATCTTTCATGTAAACTTGGAAGATGTGTGAACCACTGAGATAATACAAGTAACACAGGATGAACTGATACTCTAAATTATGTTCCATTGTTTGTGCAGTGGTGTATTCTAGGTAATTAATTGAAAATTCTGAATTTCTTGGTATACCTGACGTTTCTTCTCCTTTGAATCTTAGAATTCAATGAATATGTCAGTATACTTTATGTGTGTCTGCCCTTTCATGAAAGTGACTGGTAAAGAAGGCCTAGAAATCATTGCTGGATGGCTGCTTTTCTTATAGACAGGCTGCTTACTCCGTCTTCCTTACTGCTACCGAAACACAAACACACACGGACGCACACGTGCCTTGAGAAACTCTATGACCTGATAATAGTTATGTGGTTCCAGTAAACAATTTGTTTGATATCTGTTCATGTCATACGGTAGCTTGAAAATCCCCATTGAGTCATATGAAAAAGAGAAGACGTTCAGCAAAGAGACTCTTTTGTAATATTTTACATTTTCAACCTTCTTGTTCTCTACCCCCACCAGATTTAATTTCTACACCTCAATACCACTGTTACTGACTTGACCAACGCTCAATTTCTAGTCATTCATTTATGTTACGTCATCCAACTTATTTGCTCAATTTCAGTTCTAATTTAAATCGCATTATTCTCTACCCCACTTCTACTTAGTCTCTCTGTACCTGTAATTACCTCTGTTACTACCCTGACCTAAGTTGAAATATTTTAGTCATTTATATTACGTCATCATCTAACTTACTAACTCAATCTTACTCTAGTTGCTGTCTAATTGACATTGTTTCTATATTAGATCATTCTTTTATTACCTGGTCAACTATCTATACTTGACAAACCTCATGTACACACACAAATAATTATATATGAAAGCGATTGTACAGCTATGTGAATGAATTCACCGCCGAAAAGAGTCTCTTCGCTGAACATCTTCTCTTTTTCATGTCATATGGAAGCACAGGCTTTAATATAAAATGAGGGTGTTTTGAATCCTCCCTCCATGAATGCGTCGGTGGCACAGCGGTTAGGACTCTCACCGACCATGCAGATGGTCCGGGTTCGATCCCCTGCCGACGCACACCTGTTATTTATGGTTGGCCCACAAAATTTAGGCTACCGATATCACATGCTGAAAATTCCATACATGTACCAAAAATACTGTGTGGTTTCAAGCTATAATCAAAATAAAAAATAAAGATGACATAATTGTCAGAAGAAGCAATTATGTTATTCCTGGAGGAAGAATTCAAATAAGTTCTTTTTCTATTAAAGCACATTCTGAAGATGTTATCTAGAAGGTTAATGAAAGCTTCGGAAATAGTGTTAAACTGAATCTCTCTAAATTGTCATATTGTTGATCTTAGTTTCAGATGCTAAGAAAGACTTACGTATACCGATAGGGAGTAAATCGAATATATCTCTTATCTCGCCATCAGTTTTTCTTCGAATCTTTGTTGATTTCTAAGAAAATGTTTCGTCTGACTGATTAAATAAAGAAGTTGGAACTTTCTTCTGGCATAACTCAACCTCTTCTCTTACAATTTATAAATTAATTCATGTATTCTGCTCATTCCTCTTTATTGTTCTTCCTTGAACCTCTCAAAAAAGACTGTTTCATACTGCGTAGAACATTGAAGGTTGTAGTTTTTTTTTGGGGGGGGGGGTTAGACGGTGTGGCTTTGAGACTCAACTAACTGACACTGTTGTTAGTTGATACGCACTTCAATTCTTGCAAGCAGTCGCTTACAGTTATCTTGTCTGATACCAAACATCTTCTTTGTGATTCACAACTTTTTCCTTGTATCTCTTCGCGGAGTGAAACCAGAAAAAACTTCATAAGAAGCATTTATGCTCTTACGACTACTAAATATAAAGCAATTCTACCATACTATTATATTTAGCACTGGTGGTTGTGTATGAAGAGAGAGACAGATATCAGAAAAGAATTTATGAACCTTTTAAATAAGTAGCTAGCTTGCAAAGTATACGAATTATTATTATTATTATTATTATTGCAACAACAGAAGACAAGGGCCAGGCAACAGATCATCTATATGCTAACTGTATCCGCCTACGCAAACAAAGTCTTCTGTGGTCGGTTGTTGAATCAGTCTTTGTTCATATTTTTCTCACGACCAATATTGAGGACGTAAACATTGACGTAAATTATTATCTACCAATTTGGCTAGCAGCCAGCTCTCACCACATTATTACATGTATTATTTATTATACTATTTATTTATTATTCATAATATTCCACTATCTTTCAGTTTTTGTGGTGTTATAGTTTTTTGATAGAGTGAAATATTCCCATATTATTATGAATTAAAAGTCAATCTGAATGAAGAATATTCTTTTCAATAATTTCTCCTCTTCATGTTCTTACAATTATAAAATATAATATAACTGTTGTCGTTACAATAATGAGAGCCAGTTATGCGGCGGCGGATACATTTTTTAACGTAGAATAACAGATTAGTATTATGGGGTGTCAAAATAACTAATCTGTTATTCTACGTTAAAAATGTATCCGCCACACAACTGGCCTTTATTGTAACGACAACAAATATTATATTTTATAATTGTAAGAACATGAAGAGGAGAAATTATTGAAAAGATTATTATTTTTTCAATTTTATCTGTGTATATATTTATAAGAGGGGCTAAAGTGTTGCAATGTGTGTATAAAAGCGCTGGAAATTCCATTCTGTATGAATATTATTGTTTGGAATAAAGTAGTTATTACTATTATTATTATTATTAAAAGAGTATGTCGAAGCGCCTAGGAAGGTCAGTTTACATTTTCGCATTTGGCTCAATTCCTACAGTCAAACACTTCATGGATGGATGGCATGTTTTCATTTGACCACCACGAACTCTACTCCAACCTCATCCCAGATTAGTTAACATTGCTTACTGTGAAGACTATTCTCCGATATGCCTACAATATGCGAGAGTGTTGCATACTTGTGGAATTATTGAGAAAAATGTTGTTTTTTGTTTTGTCGGTGAACATCCACCAGGCTGAAAAAGAACGAATTCTAGAATGTTTAGAATGACTGTGTAATCTTTACTGTTGAACGTCTTTTAAGCAGTCGAATCGATGTGACGGACTTTTGTGTGTGTGTGTTTTCCTGTTCCTTTACGTCCACAGTGGAACATAGGGAGCTTCAAGCTAGAGCTTTGAAGTTTCGGCAACAGTCGTGTTTGTTTTTTTGCACGGGATGAAGTTGCCAGCTTCATGCCCAACCTTACCTCTTTACCAGTCTTATTACTAGCTTAGCAAGGATAAAGGAGTACGCTATTGGCTGTGGATCAAACCCTGGACCACCTGTATGGCTGGCGGGCATTCTATCCCTGTTGCATCAAGGCAAAGTGTAGTGTATATTTTTCCACAACTATAGTCAAATATATTTTGAGTACTTCTAAAATAAAACGAGCATTAAAAAAAATACTTCCTGTTTGATGAATTGAAGATTAACCTCTCCAAAGAAGAAGGAAGACTAATTTTAGAGTAATATGTGATGTATAATGCGTAGGTGGCTTTAGAGAAGTTCTTGTACTGTGAGTATCATTGTGCCTTCCTACAAAGAACTTAGAAATGGATTTTTTTAAACTACACCGGAAATGTATACCCCGTTTATTGATGCATTCATTCACTATGGTTTGTTCAGCTACACAATCACTGTTTATTGTATTTCATTGAATGCTGGTGATGTAATGTCATTCAAAAACCACATTGTGCTTTAAAACCCCTTGGTGTGTGGTTTACTCAATACCTTCTGCGTGTGTGTGTTCCATTCTCAGTTCTGCTTTTATTTATTTGATCAATAATACTGGTATGCATTAGTGTACATTATAAACAATTTTTTTCTGGCTAATTGTCTATGTGAATGTTTCACTTTCTCATATTTATCGTGTTCTCTGATATAAGTAGTCTCTGTTAGGTATCATTCAAACTGTCTTTTGTTTTTAGGATTATATGTATATATATGAGGTGATCTTAGACAAATACAGCTAACGTGTATGTTTGAAAAACTAACTATACCTTAATGATTTTCAACTCTCATATGCTTCTCAAAGAATGCATAAAATGCTATTAGAGAGATTATATCCTGTGTTGAATTCATAAATTCAGGGAGTGTGTGTCTATGTGTGCGCGAATGTCTGTATTATGTCATGATGATATGCATAATTCAATGAATTCAGTAATCACACACTTAATTTGTTCTCATCGGTTTCGTAATTTTCAAAAATATCCAAACGTTGGTTTGCAGGGACTTGATTTGATTGGTTACAGGATTTCATCATCATCTGATATCGGTTAGAGAACCATTAAAACAATCGGACAGCTGTTTCGTCAGCCTAGTTTGGGGCTCTTCGGAAGCACGCACCCGCTACACCACCCCGGGTTGAACCCAGGACTCTCCGGTTACATGAAGGGCTAGCTCGTAGATGACCAAGCCACTGGGACCTGTTTGAATGGCCAGTCCATTAATTTCAACTTCTGCCAACCAGCACTTAAATATCAGTTTGATGCTGATTAGTGACTGCCTGTATTTACGTAGGTAGTTAACTGGGTACCAGTGAGATGTTGTGACCAGTAGGGTACTCCCCAGCGATAACATTGGTTAGTGGTCGCGCTATATCGCCAATTGACAGTGGTTGGAATTCATGGACTAGTCATCGGACAGGGTCTCAGTAGCTTAATGGTCTACGAGCTGGCTGGACTCGTAACCGCAAGTTCCTGGGTTCGAACTCTGGCGGCGGGAAGGATGCGTACTGCTGAAGAGGAGGCCCAAAGCTAGCCTGACGTAACAGCTATTTGTCCAGCACTCCCGGCTGGGTTTCTGTTGGTTCTTTAACCGATGTCAGCTCGTGATGAAATCTTGTAATAAACATCGTCGTCCATCTTATTATGTTTTGTTATTTCTTCATAGACTTTCTTTTATTCTGTCCAACAGTCTTCATTCCTCCTATGTATTTTGTTTTCTCTCAAACTAGCTTATCCAATACAATCGCATCATTAGAAGACCAAATAGCTGGATTAACGGAACATTTGAAAAAATGTAAATGTCAAGCAATGATTACTGAGAAACGATCCGCCTATTATTCGCATTCTTCGCCTATGTCTACTTATCGACGTCGATCTAGCCGACATTCTATCTCATCATCCTCGTCGATATCGTCGTCAGCGACAGTATCATCTAAAAAAATGACTAGTGTTGTTAGCGCTACTACTGCCCCTACTAATAACAATAATAATAAAATAACATTAATAAAAGTAGTATTGATAATGATAATAACACATTTTTCACAAGACATTGGAATAGATCTTTGCGTTCTAAAAATTATTTTCTAAATAGAAGTAAATCAAACCAATGTCTTATTCTATGAATCGAAGATATTCTAGTCAACGTAATCCATCTAGAAGGAAATATCATGAAAAAGGTGGATTATTCTACATAGATGATGATTTCTTCGACCAACCAGAGATTGGTACCAGCTCACAACATCATCACCGACGTCTTCCACAATCTTCAATCTCATTAGAAATGAAAACTAACAATAAACAATACTCACAACTATCCAATGATGATAGGAGTATTCTGTCAGTACGGGGTGGACAACACTCTTCAACACTTTTTGATGATGTTGAAGATGACGCTTGTGGAATTGATTACAATGACTGTATATCAGATATGCAAAGAATGTCACTGTATCGTACATTTAGTTGGCCACGTATTAACGATGAAATCTTTGATGATAGATTTGATGAACCATCTCTTCAGTTGGATTATGATAATTCTTTCCAGTATAGTTTAAATAATGATAATAATACTGGGAAATTATTCAAAGAAAATCATAACAGTGGCGGTGGTGACGACAACGATGATGAAGATGATCTTCATGATAGTGACAGAGGTAAGTGTTTGGCGTTGTGTTCTGTTAGCATTTCCTACGAGAAGTACACTGGTATATCCTATTATTATTGTTGTTCCGTTAGGTTCCTAGTGGAACATAGGGCTTCAACTGCACGTCTCACTTGCTTCTGTCTTTCTTGTGCTGTACTTTTCACCTGCATCCATGCTAGTCCATACTCTTTCAACTCCTCTTTGTACGATCTCCTCCATGTCACCTTCGCACTGACGTCCCACTTCCTCTTCCTTTCGGGTTCCGCTCTAGGGCCTGATGCGCGAAGTCATGAACCGTCCCCTTCAGCGACTGTCCAATCTATCTCCACTTTCTCCTGCATATTTGTTGGTTGGCGATTGGTTCTTGTTTTGTTTGTTCCCATAGTTTCTTGTTGGTGATTCTTTCCGGCCCAGCCCGGCCATCTGATCTTCAGTAAAGATCCAGTGGAGACAGTTGTTGGTTGATGAAGGTCTGCAACAGGCTGTTGGAAATATTCTTTGTGACCCACCCGTCAAGTTTCTGATCCGTATAGAAGAACTTACTGACTTGATGTTTTTATTGAAAATCCGACCGAATTTTTTGTTGATGCTGAGTGACGAAAATTTCCAGAGTGGTTTCAGGTTGATGATGAATGTGTTTCTCGCCTTCCCGATTCTCACTCGATTTGACATCCTCGTCCTCCTGTAGTGCTTATGTAACAAATTTACTTCGATATGTTTTGTATATGTGTTTGTATATGTGTGTAACGACCAAATTTATTCACTTATGATCTGAATGCAAGAAACTGATCTCAGCTATCTACTACTTCGTTGAGACACGCGCTATCACAATCCGTTCCAAACGCAGGGAAAAGATGATGACTCTTCAGTATTCTGGTGGTTCCATTCGACAACAACAATAAGAAGACGAATGACATAAAAACTCAAATTTACATCAGCAGTGTCGTGAGACAGCTAGCTGTACAGGCAATGCACGTTTCTGTGCTGTAAGACAAAACTGGTTAACCAAAGTTCAACTGTATAAGGTACCTTAGAATCGAGGGGGAGAATATCCCCGACGAGATGGGATCAGTCTAAAGCTCTGTCCACAAGCATCACACGTCAACGCTTCCCGTGAACAGTCTTGTCTCAGAATCACCTTTATTCACTCAAACAAACTCTTATCATGAAATAACACACTCTCAATGTACACACACCACAAAGAGAAGTATTACAATTAAACAAGGCAATACAAAGGCAAATAATAAAGGTCAAAAATTAACATTCGATATGCAAATGTCAAAATATTGATGCACAGTCTAGGTAGATGGAAAACGCATAATAATTCAAAAGTTAGTTGAAACATCTAAATATAAGTATAAATATTATAAATAGATCATCCATGAGGGATTTTCTAAACAGTCTGTTCATTATAGTGTGTGTCTGTGCACTCGCGTACATCGCATTCCTTCGTTATTATAAAAAATCTACGACATTTTTAAACTGATGATCAGAGTAGCTAAAATAGTCTTGGCGGCAGTACTCGAACCAGCAGCATCCAAATTACCTTTGTGGTACTCTACAAGCTAAGCCTTGTGACACAACTGCCTATATACAGGTCACCATCATTTCACTGGAATCACCAAAGGTAAAATACCATATTGTCACGTAATTGAATGATACATCACTGTCTGTTTAAAAGTGTCAACCTAGCTGCCCAGTGAAGTGCTTCTATCAGTTTTGTAGTACGATGGTGGTTCATCGGTTCAATACTCGTCCACAACACACAAATTGTAAGGGTTCAATTCTCTGTTGATGTACTGGTAAACTTCGCTTTGCTAGTGGTATGCCCGGTAAAATTTGGAACGTTAGGCTTGGGTCTAGCAACCCTCCTTCCTACATAAAAAACACTAATACTACAGAAACTTCCGAAATTCACGCTTGAAGAACTATGTTAAACTCGGAACCAAAAGAAATAGAATAACATTTAACAGTTTGTTTGTAGGGATTTGATTTCTTCCACGTTTGACCATGGATTAATATTAGTTAGAGAACAATTGGATACCGGCGCTGGAGTACTGGATAGCTGTCTCGTCAGCCTAGCTTGGGACTCATAACCAGCACATACCCACTGCCACGGTTTGAAGTCAGGATTTACTGGTTACATGGCCAGCTCGTAGACCATTCAGTCACTGGGACCTTGTTGGAAAGGAGTTTCCAAAAGGTTAACCGACAAATTGGTTTTTAAGGGGACAACAGACGTGAGCAAGAGTTACGTAGTTATATAAAAGAAGACCAAAGTTTAGTGTGCAATAGGTCAAATGAAAAGATAATGACGTAATACGGTAAACAGAACTCAAAATGTCAAGCAGAATCATCTCTGACGGACCTCAAAAGGGAAAATGGGGGGTGAAGTAGGTGAAAAGATAAGTTAATGAAATTAGTAAACAGAGTTACTAAAGCATGAGTCATCAGGGTAATTGAAGTCCAACGACAGATTCCGTTTGGACAGATAAGTCAGGTTTTACCCGTTTTATCGCGATAGCTTCAGCAAACCGAAGAAAACTTGAGCTATTCTGCCCATTATTTATTATTTAACGTAAAAATCCCCCATTGAGTGCATAAAAGAAAAGTCGTTGATCGAAGAGTTACCCTTTTCGGCGATGTCCTTTTCATCTGTACAATCGTATATATATATAGTAAATATTCTTAGCAATTAAGGGAATATTTCCAAAGATGTGACATTACGATTGTAAATTTTAGGTGAAAAATTACGTAATGTAGAAAGCGTTAATCGGGTAGGAACTAATAGAAAATTAAATAAGTCAATTGAGTGATGTAATATAACTGACGGGGTTGAATAGAATTCAACTAAAATTAAACAAAAGTCATGTTCACAACAGCAGTAATAATGGGTAGTGGAAGAAAATAACACAATTGACAAACAAAATCCAAAAATTACGTATTTGGTGTTCAGATAGCTCAGGTCCATTGTAGACTTAAGGACTGCACAATCTTCTTTTGTATGCAGAGTTCAGGTTTTGATATGTGAAACGCCATTGCTTCTGTGGTTTGAAGAATTTTGCTTCCTACTGTTTTAGCAAGATTATCACGTATTCTGTAGATAACTTTGAAGTTCCTTTGTGGGTAATTTTGGCGTCCAGATTCGATCAGGTGTTCCAGGATAGATCTGTAGCACGGGGGGCGCAGCGATATCGTTTTTTTCTTTATAAAACCATGAAGATAACTAAGCGTTCGATGATGCGTTTGAATAGTGAAGTCTGGGTACGGTCGACACACTTAGCTCCACACGAGCAGGCGAATTCATAAATACATATCGATGGTACACATCGTGAATTGGCAGAAGTAGGAATTCAAGGACCTTTGGATCGGGTCTCAGTGGCTCAATGGTCGAGCTCGCCTTGTAACCAGAAGTCCTGAGTTCGAACCCTGTCGGTGTGTACGTACTGATGAAGAGTCCCAAACTAGGACGAAAAAACTATCCAGTAATCCCAGTTTTTCAGTGGTTCCCTAACTGATGTCAGCTCATGATGAAATCCTCCATGCAGTCACATATCGATAAGATCATCAGTGGTGGCTTATCCTTCACATTTTTTGTGAATCACTGGTTTCGTCGAGAAAGTTATTCGAATGATTTTGAATGAACCCAGCAAGCTTATTCGGTGTCCTGTATCTATCAGGTATTCGGTGAGTGAAGAGCTTAAACTGATGTTTGGCCTCTTTAACCGAATGCTCTTACATGTTACATGTTCGAAGAATCTGGTGAAGACTTTACTTCCTGTTCTTCCAATGTAGCTGCACCCGCAGATACATTTCTGAAAGTGACATTCTCGTTGGAAATTTTATTTCCTCTGTTTTTAAAACTTAACTGTTTCATTTTGAATATTTGATTCAATTTTTGTCCATTATGGTTATTATATCACGTCACATATGCCTGAAACATGTTCACAAAGGCACTTTTTCTTATCGACCCATTTTTTTGTTCATGTAAACACATGTTTCGTTTTCTTTCGTACAATCAATAGAAAAATCCTCACGTTACAATTTTCGGACATATTTTATTAAAAATCATTTGGAAACCGTGTGTAATAAACATTTACTTTGTTTGTATTTTTTTGTTAAATGTTCCAAAAAGAACAGCACCCGGCAACAGTAAAGAATATACACCAAAATCAAATGACCTTGAATCAACCAATAAGATGGCTTGGTATTACACATGCATGGTGTTTACAATCTTCGTGGCGAGTTTCACTTAGATGTTTTATTATTACTAATAATACAACGACTAGTCAGTCCGCCTAGGCACTACTGCTTATACACTCGAGTGGAAGGGTTATTCGCAACTATCATCATTACGCTGGCTATATTCATCATAAAGTCAATCATACTTCTGAATTAGCAGATCCTGTAAGTGAAACTCATACTAATTCTATTGAGGATTCTGAGAGAATCTAAAACACGTATTACGGGTCTATTCCTTACTCTTGCCCAGTTCCCTTTTGCTACCTTTAATGCTTTATTTAAACAAGGAGTTCTTGTTAACATGATGTGGGATTGTTTTTGATGAACAAGCGAAGGTTCCTTGCTTTAGATGTTTGCGAATGCGCATTTTTCTAACTGACTAAGTTACAACGCAGAACTCTCACTAAAATTTCAGCAGTTCAAGTTGCCACACTCCCACATACCACACAAATGTAGGGAAAAGATTGAAGAAGGCTATCTATAATGAACAAAAATTTGTGGAACATAAAGCTTGAAGATATGAAGCCACACTAGCTGTATTGTTTTCATAGGATAGGATTACTACTGGCCTCGTGCCTAGTCTCCCTCTTTCCTGGGCTTACTACCCTGACTAGTAAATTAGACGAGGTTTAGGAGTGTATCGGCCAGTGGAATTGAACAATGACTACACACATTGCCAGTGAGCATTCCATCACTCAACTACCGACGCGCGTCTCTCATGTGATCGTTTCGTGATAAATTTCTACCCATATAAATCAAATAATATTG